GCAAGAACCAACAAACCTGTGTGCCCAGTAAATAGGATCAGGTATTCCAATTACTGGCACTGTTTTATTTATTGACATTTTATAACAATGACCCTTTACGAGGGGTTTTTAGATGACTAGAAATTTGTATTGTTTGGACAGCTGTGTAATGCTGTAAAATTTATATTAAAGAGTAAATAACAAAATCAAATTTTGGCAAATCATAACGATAGATTTTTAGAGATTTTTAGAGAAACTACAAAAATACGAAGGCAGCAATTTCTGTCAATCCAACGATTTGTTAAACAAACAATCTTTTCATTGTGTCCGGGAAGAACGTCGTAAAAAAGGAAGAAACTGACTAACAAAAGGATAGAAAACTTAATTTTACACCCGAATCAAAACACCGAAACTTCAAACCGTATTGTGTTTATGGTGTTAACCAATTCTCTTTTGTTACGTCCCCGCCCACGCTTATTATCAGATGTTTGGTGGCGTGTCATTTTTTATCAAAACAATAACGCTTTTGTAGGAGCCGTATTCACATGAAGTTAAATAATAAGTGAATTTGTCAAAAAGTCCGACAAACAATCGGATCGAAAATAATTTACATAGACATATAAATTAGAGGCCTTCCAATTTTTTTACAAATTAAATTTTTAGGTAAAAAAAAAAAAAAAAAAGGTAAGTAAACTGGCACTGTTGTAATCGTTGGCACCCTTAAAAGAAAAAGAGAAAACTTTTAAATAGTCTAAGGTAGAACACGTGCTATCATCATTACCAACCCATCTTACGTTCCACTGCTAGACACGAGTCTCCTTTAATGAGAAGGATTAGGCCATAGACCGCCACGCTGACCTAACCTTGAGAACCTTCTCGTACGTATAGGTTTTACAACGATGTTTACCTTCATCGTTAGCAAGAGGTGTTGCTATCAACCACTCATAAATATACGTAACTTAGAAATAAAATTCATAGATACCTTCATCGGCCTTTCAATTGAGAAGTCACCGTTTTCCCATTGCACTACCACATACTTGTCACATGTGCCAATAATTGAACTTACGGTAATAATAATAACGCGTGCACACTTATAGCCCTGCACTAGGGAAACCCTCGCGGGGGCCATGGATACACACATAGATAACCACAAATTACACCCATACCTACTCACGACGTAAATAAATGTAGGCCATATAAATAATTATCTCGACTCTGGAATTGCACCCGGGACTTCCAGCATAGTAACCGTTCGGCCATGGAGGCAGTTAAAAACAGTGACAATGGTTCGTATCGTCTTTGGTATGGTGGTGGTAAGGTGACATGTGATTATACGTCAAAAGTGCTTTTATCAAATGAAAATTATAAAATTATAAAAACAACATGAAATAAACTATGTATATATCGCACTGCTATTACAATAGTGTCGTAACTCAAAATATGTGAAATTTAAGATTATACTATTGCTGAACGCAAAATTTGATTCTCTTCAGGTGAATAAAACCGTCGTTAGAATATTGTAAGAAACAATTAAAAAATATCTACGTAACTGAAAATGAGACAAAATTTTTGTGAGCTAATTCTGGACAAAACAGTCAATACTCAAGAATATTATGAAGTTATTGTTTCAATTTTATTTTTAAATATATTTGGCAAGCAAGAACTTGCTTAGATGTCTGTAATAATCTGGAATACATACGTAAATTTTAATAATTCTTCACCGGAAGTGAATGATTCGTTTTACATCGATTCTGAAAAAAATACACTTTTTGAGTTAATACACTATTGTATTGACAGTACGATATATAATTTTAGAACTCTCTCTATTTAAGCATAAAAAATTATCAACTAATTTTTTGTGAAAAGTTATCGCTTTGCAGATCTGATCTTATTACAACAAGGTTGTGAACTGTGCATTCATAAGGTCTATCGTGTCAAACCAAAACACTGCAAGGTTTAATATAGGTTAAATATTTCATTTTATTTCAACACATTTGGTAAAATTACAGGCACTGTATAAAAGCAGCAGTAGAGATCCGCCAAGCAGTAATGCAAGCATTACTGCGTTCCGGTTTGTTAGGGTAAGGGTGCTGGTGAAATTACAGGCACATGGGACTTGTCAACTTACGTCTCAGGGTGACCGACGCTGTGGTAATGCCCCAAAGATCTTTGCAATTAAAACTCTGAGTGGCATTGCAACTGTCATGGATAGATAAAAATAATATGATAGAACAAGATCTCGGAAAAATTAACTACGGGTTTTACAGTGCAATTTCCAAGCGCTTTCTTTATAGTAGTATTGCTTCTCTATGGAGAAGTATAAAAGGCGTACTGGCAAAATTCAATGATTTACTGTTGTTGTGTTACAACATTTCATATTGTAACAATACAAGCATAACGACAAGAGAAGCAGTGGCATTTTCGTGTGCAGTACTATTACATAATACATAGTATAAACCACACAGAATACTTACTTTACGCGTTATTATGATAAACTTACTTTGTATATTAGATATTAAAGAAATCCATCCAGCAGCGATTATAATTTTACTTTACAAAATCCGAAAGATTCTTATTGCAATAAAATTACAAAACTTTATATTTTTCATAATACATCACAGTCATCCAGCCTACCGAAGCTCTACTGCTACCTTATTACACCAAAGGTGGGAATTCAAAAATGTTGTCTGTATAACTAACTTTTTTATATGTACAACTGAAAAGCGATCTAATAGGAATTTTGCTTATTGGAAAGTTATTAGATAAGGTTATGTTTGTGTATTTTCTGTTGTCTGCAGAGTCCGAGTACTAATTACGTAATCCAATAACTTAATAAAAATAACACAAAATTACGGTTATTCACGATGTCCACGTTCGCGATCTATAAAAAAATAATGTCAGTATATCCACCCACATTGGTTATAAATTAATAGAATCTGCCCACATCGTCTCAAAAATAATGATGCGTTCGATTCGTGGGAGGTATTTTTTTTTGTTTTCTGTTATTTTTAGGAAATGTTTCCTTGTGATGGTATCGCTAATTCTCCGCATCTGGATATCAATGATTTATTATACGTAAAGGTTAATTAGAGGGTTGACACGTATTTCTCGTTCTCATAGCTTTTTCTTTTTGACAATTTCAAAAAGCGGTGCGTGGAAAGGCGGTAGAAATTTAAATTTATTTTATGTTATTATTCATAAGGAATTTCATAAATATGTTAAAGTACCATCAGTTTCTCTCAGTGGGGTAGACAGAAATTAAGAGTCGCTACTTGTTACGGTTCTAATTTGGTAAATTGATCTCGAATAAAAATAAAAGATTTGAATAAATTCCGAACACAGCGATTTGTCAAAATCCTTCGTTAATAATCTCAGTCTAGTTTGTCACCCTTGGAGGTGGAATAATTTCTTCAGTTTTAAATTAAACCATTACTGAGGTATCCTCTTTCCAACGAATAAAGATCACCAAAATCTGTTCTCAAATATTTATCGTAGTGATAGCGTAATATACATGTGTACAAATAAAAAAAAACTGATAATTTGTATGGTTTTACCTGTGGCTGAATTTAACTACAGTTTGTACATCTTAACCAAAACCTAAAGCGTCGAGCTTACCGCAGCCTATAAAGCTTACAGCATTTTAATGACGTCATTTGAATTCTTAAACTACCCAAAGATTAATTATGTTACTTATTACATAGTACAGTTTAATCAGTATGACGATTTGAAGTGTAATTTATAAACTTACTTATGAAATAAAGACCATTTGACTTTGATACTGTAACAACTCAAGTACGTCCAACTGTTGGGCACGGGTCTCGAAGGCATATGTGTAGAAGGTCCATTGTTTAAGAGGTAAAATGTAGAGGAACAAAATTGACTTTATTTTCCTTTTTATTCAAATAGAAAACAATATCGAGATCGATCGCGTTGATGTCTATTGTATTGCTCTAAAGTTACCAGTTAACCCGTGTGAGGTACCGAAGTCATACAAATTTTATTTTAGTAGCAATAGAGACGCTGGATTAGGAGGTCCTGGGCTCAATTCCCAGTACCACCAAATTAGAAAATGAACTTTCTAAATTGTTTCTGGTCTGGATGTTCCGGGAAGTCTTTAGTAGCTGTAGAGCTTATTTAAACCTCAGTGTTATAGACAGGCGAGTCGCTTATCACCAGGTGCACGAATTGGCAGTACTTCCCTCTTACTCTTTCACAAGGAATTTTAATGCTACTTAAGACTTCCCAGAAAATCCAGATCAGAACCAATTTAGAAAGTTCATTTCCTATTTTGGTTCTACCGGGAATCGAAGCCGGTACCTCCGTATCCAGCGTCTACAATACACACTGTTGGGCCACCGAGGTTGTCAGAATCATTTGTTGTTTATACTTAACTTCTGGAATCCTACTATAGTCAGCTGCAGCCAGTATACATATAAACTCTTGCCATAACAACGACAACTGTACAATGGTGACCCCGACGTGATCATTACCCTCCACGCCCTTTTCCCATCGGAAACCTTCCACTTGCTACGATCCTAACATACATCTTTTGGTTCATCAAAAGGTATCAATGCTTTCATACACGTTGCTTTAAAAAAACAACAACACAAATTAAAAAAAAATCTAATTCAATAAATAATTTAATCTCGTCTTGTCCAAGAGCGCTTACATCTAAAATATTTACAAAATCATCGACTGTCTCGACAACCATAAATGCGTTTTACAAAGCCTCCATGTTCTTAAGTTAAAGGTAACAAATATACACTTAATCATAACTTACTGTAAGACCAAGTTGAGTGCAAGATAATAACTTAGAATAGAACTTAACAATGTATAAATTCTAAAAAGTAATTATAATCTTATAAAAGTTTCATGATATTTGGAAATATGTCATCGTTGGGTGTGCTAAGTCATTTTTAAGTTATTAACTTAATTAAGTAGTTAGTAATGATACTAAGTCGAATATAACAAGAAATCGCAATATACTTTGGGACATTGAAGCGTCCATGACGATCCTGTTGCTGAAATTTTCCCCTGTTCAGTGTCACAGACAGTTTCATAGTCGTGAAGTGATATTCATATTTATTATATTCCGAAATAAGTTTAGTACATTAAATTTAGTGGAATTTCTACTAAATTTGAATAATAGATTTGAGCGGCTGTCTTACATTCTAAAGAAATTAAGGCACTATCGGTTTGACTAGATTTTCAAAGAGTCTTCTCGTGTATAAATTATAAATGCAATAAAAAATATATTAATGCACATTCTTCGGAGGGATTTGTCCAATGTTGAGCCAACATTTGCCATCTGTGAACAAAGAATAGTTTTTATCAATATTTAGAAAACAAAGCATAACACCGTGGTTTTGTTTTTTAGCAATAATACGCGCGCTTGCAATTAATATTTATTAATAAAGACTTTAGCGGCCACGATTATTAAATTGCCTAATTTATTATATAATTTACGTTTCAACTTCAATTTTAATATCAACGACAAAAAAACCCTTAATTGGATTAATTAAATGAATAATACTCACGTTATTGCTATTTCTGTTGCCACCAGGAGATGACATCCAACAGCTCGTCTTCATCCATGGAGCCCAGCTGTTGCTGCGTTGACACCTCGTATCGATCCACCGCGGAATACGCCGAGGACACTCCCGAAGAACATTCCGAAGGCGCCGGGGAACCAGCCTTCTCAGAACACGGAGAACTACTGCCGTAGAAAAATCCATCATCCATGTCAACCGATGTCAATTGCTGAGAGTTACTGCTTGGTATGTTTTCTCTATTTTCTTGATCGCGAGTGATACCAAGAGCAGCGTCACCTTCTTCCAGTAGTTGCTGAAGATATCTGATGTATTCGACGACCATTCTTAATGTATCGACTTTACTAAGCTTCTTTCCGGAGCCCCGCCTGGCGCCTCCAGACAAAGCAGCAACTACAGACGCTGGAAGATGTCGGCGAAGTGCATTAAATCCATCATTCACTTGCTTCACACGATTACGTTCTCGAGCATTGCGTCTCGCTATCGATGCTGCCTGCGGTCCGGTGTACGGGTTCGTCCTGAAGTGAACCTTCTTTCTGTATTGCAAGTTAGGCGGCGTATCATGCGTAACGTAGTTCTTTTCAGGAGCTGGAGCGATAGGCACGTTGCGTTTATCGATTGGCGTTTTAGTCAACGTAGCGGAAGGATATCCGGACGAGACGACTACGTAGTTCGTCTGACCTTGAACGAGTTGTATTTCTTGTAGCATTGTCGTAAGCGCGGGGCGCGAGAGAGATAAGAGCACGCGACCTGTCCGCGCGGCGGTCGGCCAAACACTGTTCGCACTTTTAAATTGCGTGTGGGGAAGGCTTCGCGGGAGCTCGGAGCGCGCGCGAGTGACGTTGGCGGAGCTTCACGTACAAGTGAGCCGCCGGCGCACGCGCACGCGTTATATCACCTGCGCCGGCTGCAAAAAATATAAATTTAAAAATTCTCTTCCCCTATTATTTTCGATCATCCCTTCCCCCAGTACGTGCGGGTCCGTACCTGGCGTAGTGGTTAGGGGAGCCGGCGGCGGCGCGGGGCGAGGCGGCTAACGCGTGCCCAGTTTTTTCTCTTGACCACTACTGAATGTTGTTTAATGCACACTAGCCTGAATGTAACTTTTAAAAGCTTTTAAGAAGAGTTTCATGTATAAAAATATCCTTGAATAAATTTGATAATAACACTGCACTACAAATACATTCCAAAATAAAATTTCTAAATCAAGAAAATATGTTATATTAGTTTTAAAGAAATTTGTACATACATAACTCAACAAACATGGTTGTTCCCCTATAGACGTTATCGACAGACGATGAGAAATATTTTTTCTTCGTTAAAATATGTAAGTCTAAAGCCGTGTGAGAATCGCCGCCGCCATTGACAGTCTTCTGGCATCACACGAAACTTGACATAGAGTTGGAAATGGTATTCGTTCAATTAAATATTTATGAAATTCATGTTGGCTCTGAAAATGCTAGCGTTATTATCTCTAAAAATGCTAGCATTATTGTCTATAATGCTAGTATGTCGCAATGTCACTACAGGAATATACCAGTGGGTATATATAAGGTGCAAAATCGAATATCTGTCTGTATTTGCATAATGAATCTTAATTGAAATTATTTCATTGGTGATGGAGTAATTTTTTTTATAATATTAAGTAACGGGACGAACAAGTCGTGTGCATGACGTTAAGCGACACGTCTATCCATAACAGTTGCAGTGCCACTCAGAGCTTTAATCGCAAAGATGTTAAGGGCCACTGTGCCCGTCACCTTGAGACATACGTTGACAAGCCCCACATGTTAGTCATTTTACCTGCACTCTTCAAAACCGAAACGCAGAAATAGGTAAGATGGCAGTCTTCTTCCCTGGACGATCAATTTGACAAGGAGCTCTACTACAATTTTTCTTTTTTTTTAATCTGTGTTGTATCTGTATTTTTTTTTTTGTTATTTATTTGTCGTAGTATGCAATAAACAATATTCATATAATATTTTGACGGTCTCTGTGACCCTTATAGTCTGGGCGATGGATGTAGAAGTCCCGGGATCGATTCCCGGTAGGACCACTGTGGAAAATGCACTTTTCTAAATTGGTTCTGGTCTGGGTATTCTGGGTATTGCCCCAAAGTGAATTTCCATTGCTCTGGTACTCATAGTAAAGGAGATTCCCTAGTTCGAGACCAGGTGTGGTTGTTTGGCAAATTATATTATTATTACGTCGGATGTGTATCAGTCCCGAATCCGAGGACATCTGGTGACGGGAGGAACAAGTCGTCTGATGGTAAGCTACACATGTCTGTCCATAACAATTGTAGTGCCACTCAGAGCTTTAAATCGCAAAGATCTGAGGGGCACTGCTACTGCGCCCGTCACCCTGAGACGTAATTTGACAAGTCCCATGTGCCTATAATTTCACCATCACGTAATGCTGACATTACTTTTTTTTTATACACCAAATACAGGAAAGATACTTATTTACTAATTACAAGCTTCGCTTACAAAAGCCCTTCCGGCTTCATCCGCGACGAAGAAGTTCAGTCTGTTTAAGTAAAGATATAATATAATAGAGCAAAAATCTTGAAAAAACTGAATGACTTCTAGACAGGTACAAAAACATGCTCACTTTCATGTTCACTTTCATGTAATAACAATTAAGCTCTTTACAAAATAAAGTTTATAGGTATTTTCAGTTTTCAAAAAATGTTTCTTAATGTTTTATAGTGTTTATTGTTTTGATAATTTTTGTGGCCATTAAGGTGGCAGTACTTCCCTGGGCGAACTCTCTCACAAGGAACTCTACTCCTACTTTACATTTGTATAGTCTTAGATTCGAAATGAATACGAATTGGATGCAGTGCGTGTTAGTGCGTACTAACGGTACGAAATACTCGCTCCAATAAGGTTTTAAAAGTCATACCATAGGCCGAGAATTCATCATCAATTACACGTAAAATGCTATGAATTGCACTTCTTATCGATTTTGTTTGAATCGGCGGCTCCATCAAAGCTCGTACGGCAGCCGTACCGAAACGCTCGAATACTAACCGTTCTCGAGTACTAATTGAACCGAAAACTTGACCAAAGAATTCGTTCCCATTAGTTAACACTTATGAAATATTTTTATACGATTTTAAAATGTGTTTTGGTGAAAGTTACGTGTTTTTGTTTAGATTATATCGTGATTGATGGTTATTACTCCTTTTAAGTATATAAAATTGAAAGGACTTGTGTTATGTTTATCGACATCGGACTGATTTGGAATTAAAAATATAATACGTATGGTTAAGTGGGGTAAGAAACGTACTGCGCAAGAAGAATATACTTTATTTTGAGTCCAATGTATTGCTCTAGGAAGTACAGATAATGTCTTATAAGAATTTTGAAGTACACGTAACTTGCTTTTGCTTATCAGCTTTAAAAGTTTTAAAAATAATTTCGCTAAATTAATTACTAACGATGTATGTATTTGTCGAAATAGTGCAAATTGTGCTAACATTTTTCTTTCTCCAAAAGATAATAGTCATGTATAGTTTACGTGTTTGTGAGTGAGGGTTTATGAAGGGTTTATGAGGGTTTCATAAAAATATCACATAAGTGTTTTAATGCCTACTACTAACAGTTACATACACTGCTTTATCTACACACATATTATAAGCTCTCTGTGATGTGTTCAGGAACCGCATGTTACGACTCGCGAAATGGCGGCAAATAAAAACTTTTCTCACGCACGTCACACAACGGTGGTTTTTATTTTTAATTCTTAGACAAACTAGAATCGGCCCCAACTATCATATCGTTCGATATCAAGTAACGTGTGAAATTGTCAAAATTGTTTGCTATTGACATTCCATTTCGAATAAAACTTCATCTCGACTGATATTAGAATTGAGGTTCTATCAAATTGTTTTGTTTTTCAGAGATGTTCAAAATTTGAATGTAATAATAACATCGAATTTGATGTTAATCTAATTTATCCACCACTGTCGCCACTATCATGCGTAGTCATGCTACGGGGGCAGGTATCATCAAATATTATAAATATTTAAAAGTAATTTACTACCAACCAATAATAACATTTTCACAGATAAGTAATTTGTTCTAACAAAACAGTTTACCTTTATGCTGCTCGTAATTTGCGATTTTTGAATACATCATGTAGGGTTTATGATATGTGTGTAGACAAAACTCTTCACATTATGAGTTAAGACTTTAAGTAATTAAGTTAAGGAATTAAGTAAGACAAAATATACTTCTCATAGATGCGCGCTACGGCTAAAAAGTCGTTAAAAACCAAAACGAATATCTGCAACACGCACATAGAAAAATTCGTAAGGTCCGCTAGTACGTTCCATGACTTAGTTGGCTAACCTTTAGGGAGGTTTGCTAGAAGACGCTGGTTTGAATCCAACCGGATCAAAGAAATTTTTCTAAGTGTTCGATGTTTGTATTAAAAATTTATATAACAAACTATTGAAGAATTTTCACAAAAAAAGTTGCTGAATAAACTTGAACGGTCACAAAATCTGTATATAAGTTTCATCTTTGGCCTTTGTGAATATGACCGAATCTCACAGTATCGCAGTCAACTCAAGTGGCTTCCCATTCGTCTCCACAGGAATTTGCATACTGTCTCCATTCTCTATAATATTCTGCACAACCCTATGTCTCCTGGGTTTCTGAAAGAGCGTTTCATCTTTCTCAGGTCTCAGGAGAAGCCCTGTCGCTCTCTCGTTAGGTCCCAGCTATCTTTTCCATCCTTCAATTCCGGTTTTTATTTGCACTCCTTCGCTGTTCATGCGATCAGACTTTGGAACGCACTTCCCATTACTGTTCATGGTAGTATATCCTTATCAATTTTCAAAATGAGAGGTAAGGTGCACTATTTATCGACTGTTCCAACCATTTTATAGGTATTACAGTACGAAATATGTATTGATATAAGTATTTATGTAGTTTTAATAATTTAATGTTTTTGAATTTTTTTTTATTATTACATAATTTTTGTTGTATTGTGCACGTAAACCCGTTCTTGTAATTATTGTCTGCTGTATTAAGGAAGAGCTATCTAAGTCTGTAGGACGAAAATTTCTGTTACAAATAAGCAGAACCTTTTGTTGAATGGTTTTAGTTTTACTGTACAATAAATAATTCAAAAATAAAAAATGATACTGTAACATGGTGAGCGGAGGGGGTCCGTAGACAATTGAGATGCAGACGGAAAGTGCGCAAGGCGTGTATTGATTATAAGACCAAACGAAAATTTATGCGACTAGGCACCCAACAGTGCGACTCACGTGCAGGAACTGCAGTACTAGATACAATATTATTAATAAATCGTAAATAACCTGATTACGTAAATAAGATAACTAATCCAGTTTTAAAAATAGTAATTTAAGAAATAGGTAAACGAAACAAGTAGCAAAGTAATCGTCAATCTCCATTCAACGGTCCAACCTTGAGTTCCTAATACGATTAGGCGTTTTCCATTATTGATCTAAATAACTTCGTATAGATCTTTCTCTGCCTATCTTTCCTTTGAATTATTTCTTCTGTAATGCTTCTAAGAAAACTGTCCCGTCGTACTACGTCCCATTCTCCATTGTCTTTAAAGAACTGCTTGTTGATTCCTGCCCTGTCTATGGTACCTGGAAGGACTCCGAAGAAATAATAATAACATAATAATTGGCCCCGTAACAAGCCATACTTCGATCGCCCAGTCATCTTGGGGGTAGTAACCCCGTGATTTGAACCGGATATGACCTGCGGGGAGGTGCTAATGGGTTCCGTAAACAACTGTTTTTTTTTTGTTATGATTATGCGTAATCAATAAATTGTTAGCCTAGGGTAGGGCAGAAGGT